TAGATAGATAGATAGATAGATAGATAGATAGATCAGGGGTAGGCAACCTTGTTTGTTTTATGACTCGTGGACTTCAACTCCCAGAATTCCTGAGCCAGCGTGGCTCAGCTTGGAAAACTCTCCCTTTCCCCTCAGCATGGCTGGCTCAGGAATTCTGGGAGTTGAAGTCCACGAGTCATAAAACAAACAAGGTTGCCTACCCCTGATCCAGATCAATGTTAACTGCTCCTTTGGTGGAATATCATTTTGAAATAACAGGAAATACTTGCAGCTCCTGCTGATGGTGTTACCTATTTTGCTAACGAAACGTTCAGGAATTATATTAAAAGAAGCTTGGAGAAACAAACCACAGCCAAAATCTAAAAGCCCAAGCTAGAAGTATTTCCTATTATTTCAAAATCCAGATGATCTGGCAAAGAAGCACGGAGCTTTCGCTTTACCGTATGATTTCTCCTCCTCTTTCTCTAGGTATCTTTCAAAACCCCTGGCGTGGCGACCCCCAGTTGACTCATGCTATGCTGGTGGTCGGATACAACAGCACCAAGTACTGGATTGTGAAGAACAGGTGAGTGAAGGGAAGGGGATGCTGGCAGGGGGGTAATTAGATTAGAGAGAAACTTCTACTATTCCAGAGAGTCAAAACCTTGGCCACTAGAAAGAGTGCAGAGAAGAGCAACAAAGATGATTAGGGGACTGGAGGCTAAAACATACAAAGAACGGTTGCTGGAATTGGGTATGTCTAGTTTAATGAAGAGAAGGACGACGGGGGACATGATAGCAGCCTTCCAATATCTCAGGGATTGCCACAAAGAAGAGGCAGTTAAGGTATTTTCCAAAGCACCTGAAGGCAGGACAAGAATTCATAGATGGACACTCATCAAGGAGAGAAGCAACCTAGAACTAAGGAGAAATTTCTGAGAGTGAGAACAATTAACCAATGGAGCAACTTGCCTCCAGGAGTTGTGAATGCTCCATCACTGAAAGTTTTTAAGAAGAGATTGGACACACATTTGTCTGAAATGGTATAGGGTTTCCTGCCTGAGCAGGGGGTTGGACTAGAAGACCTCCATGGTCCCTTCCAACTCTACTCTATTCTGTTCTGTTCTGTTCTAATCTACTCTACTCTACTCTATTCTACTCTACTCTACTCTACTCTACTCTACTCTACTCTGTTCTGTTCTGTTCTGTTCTGTTCTATTCTATTCTATTCTATTCTATTCTATTCTATTCTATTCTATTCTATTCTATTCCATTCCATTCCATTCCATTCCATTCCATTCCATATTTTCTATTCTATTCTATTCTATTCTATTCTGTTCTGTTCTGTTCTGTTCTATTCTATTCTATTCTATTCTATTCTATTCTATTCTATTCCACGCCATGCCACGCCACGCCACGCCACGCCACTACACAATACAACACTACAGTACACTCCATTCCAGAGTGTCTCAGTCTTGGCCACTTGAAGACACATGGACTACAGCTCCCAGAATTCCACAGCCAGAATGATTCCTTATTCCAGCAGTCCCCAACCTTTCTAGCCCCATGAACCAGAAGCAGAAGCAGGTAGGTGGCGAATGGTTTCGCATGTGCAACCTAGTTCCCGTGCATGCACACATAAGGTTTCATGTGCTCACCTGCTGCTTGCGTGGCGCAGTTCCCAACAGGCCCTGCCCTGCATGGTTTTGAAATAAATCTCTTGCATGCTTCTCTTCGCAGTTGGTCTCGCTATTGGGGGGACAACGGATACATGCTCTTGGAACAAGGATCCAATCAATGCGGCATCACCAACATGGCTTCCTATCCCATTCCATAACCAGCCAAGTGGACCGTTTGAGAAT